CAAATGGCAAATGATCTCATTTTCTGTTTTGAAACGGACAGTCAGGAAAATAGGTCCAAATTGCTTGATTGAGAGTCAAAATTTACTCATTTAACACTGATTGGACTACTCAAATGATGGAATAGAATAATTATATATCAATAAATTTATCTTGACACAGGGGAGGGGAGATGAACCTCTAAACCAAAGGAAGAATGCTGATTTTAAAGCCAGATTTTAGTTAGCCCGACTAACTCTCTTCCTTATTTCCAATTTCTTTGTGCCAAGGAATTTCTTCTTGTAACCATGGAAGACTACAATGGGAACATCAGGTCTATTACATGTCATTTCATTTGCATGGGACACTGCTTAAAGCCTAAATAGATGTTCATCACATACCTGAACATTTGAGTAGAAAATTGACTTAGGAAGAATACTGAGGTGATTTCCTTGCATCTACGCCTTCCTCAGCTGTCAAAGCCTTGCCTCTGCCCTTGTGCATGTGTGTGGTGGCTACTCACCTGTCAAGGCTCAGCCTGAATCCCCCTTCTCCTCAGTCCCCCTTTTCCTGGCACCCAGTGGAAATAACCATACTCTCCTCTCAGCCTTTTAGCTCATTTTACGTCTGTTACCGTGGTTATTGCATCCTGCATTGTATTTTAGTTCTTTAGTTGTCTGTTGCTTCCAAAAAAATCTATAAAGTTCCTGCAGTAGGGAGGGTGACCAGTTGTCCCAACTGGCTTGGGACTGAGAAGTTTTCTAGGATACAGGATTTTCATTGCTAAAATCTGGAAAATTTCAGGAAAACCTGGATGATTGGTTCCACTACAAAGACCATACATGGTCATCCTTTGTAACTCTTCCTCCAGTTAGGATAATTCATTGCACGCAAAGGTGCCCAGTAAGTGTGTGTTATTGAATCCATGATTCCCTAGACCACGTAATTATGAGGTATAAAGACAGGTATCCTTAACTGCAAGAAACACAAGTTTCCCCCTCTCTTTCTCTTATCTACTCTGGCAAGATTTCCAACCTTCTCTGGCCCTCTCAGTCTTTCTAGGTATCCTCAGTGATAACTCACACATGTGCAGATGTTAAATTCAACCTCCACTGGCTGCACAAGCATCAGTTGTATGAAGCACACCCATGCTTCTGACAACAGCCAGAGCGGCTATCACTCCGTAATGGCATGGAGCTGCTGCTGCTACCATACCCACCACGATCTCTATCACAGTAACACCATTACATTCCCCAAAAGTCCTGGCTTGAGCTCCCAGTACCCTCAAATTTTGTTTGCTGTGAAGAAAGCCTTCCAGTGGTTTTTGTAGCTCTGTCTCTCTAGGACTCACAGGTGAGTCCACAAGAGCTCACTGGAGAACTGGACCCACCCCAGGGGTGTGCATCACTTTGACAAGCAAATTGCCCCTCTTAAAGTCAGTTGTTTTTACTGAGCCTGTTTCTCCCTCAAGACAGTGATTGAGAACCAAGGTAATTTTGTACACCCACCTCCCCCTGCTCTGGGACATCTGGCAAGGTCTGGAGACCTGTTTGGTTGTCAAATATGGGATAGGTGGGTGCTCCTGGCATCCAGTTGCTGGAGGACAGGGATGCTGCCACACATCCTACGGTGCACATCATGGCGCCTCCCACAATAAAGCATTAGCGGGTCTAAACTGTTAGCAGTGCAGAGGTTGAAAAAGCCTCCCTTAGGATGAGTTATCACCCTAAGGGTACAACCCCTCCTCAAATCAGGCCTCAGATCAGCCCGTCACCAGTCCATCAGATCTGCCCATTCTATCTGGCTGGTTCCCATCAGAAACTCAGGTTGAACAGTCCTTCCCCACAGCCCATTTACATTTGGAGTTTTCTTGTGGCTTTTCCCTTCCACCTGGCCATACCAGACCCCCAGCTTTGTAGTGGGGTCCTAGACAGTGAGTCCAAAGCTGTCAGACTTAACAGGCGCATCCCTCATGCAGTCCAGGTGACCTGGGGAGATGACTGCCAGGCAGGTGCTTAGGAAACCTGGCTTTCATGCCTGGCTGCCTCCATAGCTCGGTCAGGTCACTGGAACTCCTTCCCTCACCTGTACGCTAAGACTGCGAACAATGGCCACGTACCTCCCTCCACAGGGCAGGCATGCAGATCAATAATAGAACTCAAAGACCATGAAGGGCTTTTGGCCTCTTGGGAAACAGAAATATAGGTGTCTAAGTGACTGTGATACATGTTTTGTGATAGGAAATATATCTTAATTAGCCTCTGTACTCTCCGTACCCTCTTGTTACAATATCTAGGGGAAGAACAGGTTTATGGGTTTATTTTTTTGTTTTAAAGAAGAGTTTTTGTGGAATAGAAACAGAATATTAAGGCCGAGCATGGCACCTCACACCTTTAATTCCAGCACTTTGGGAGGCCAAGGCGAGTGGATCACCCGAGGTCAGGAGTTCGAGACCAGCCTGGCCAACATGGTGAAACCCTGTCTCCACTGAAAATACAAAAATTAGCTGGGCATAGTGGCGCACACTTGTGGTCCCAGGTACTCCGGAGGCTCAGGTGGGAGGATCACTTGAACCTGGGAGGTTAAGGTTGTGGTGAGCCAAGATAGCACCAGTGCCTGGGTGACAGGGTGGGACCCTGTCTCAGTCAATCAATCAATCAGTCAAAGAATTTTCAGGCTTCCAGGTTCAGGCAGAAGAATGACCCAATGGGAATGGGGAGCTCATGCACAGAGATCGTGGGAAAATGATGAGCTCCCCAGAGGGATCTTAGGAGGTTGGAGTTTCCTGAGATTCATGGCAAAGGCTCCATAGACAGTGTTACCAAGGTGTTTATAGAGAAGTGATATCAGAGGCATGTAAGTCTGCCCGAGGCAGCCAGGCACCATGTGTCCGGGTATGAATAACAGTGCAAAGCCAGGAATTTGAATACACAACGAATACAATTCTCCTCCATTCTCATGCATTTTATTTATTTATTTATTTAGTTAGTTAGTTAGTTAGTTACTGTTTTTGAGATGGAGTCTTACTCTGTTGCCCAGGCCGGAGTGCACCGGCACCATCTCAGCTCACTACAACCTCTGGCTCCCAGGTTTGAGTGATTCTCCTGCCTCAACCTCCCAAGTAGTTGGTATTACAGGCCTGCACCACCATGCCTGACTGATTTTTGTATTTTTAATAGATACAGGGTTTCCCCATGTTGACCAGGGTGGTCTTTAACTCCTGACCTCAAGTGATCCTCCTGCCTCAGCCTCTCAAAGTGCTGGGATTACAGGCGTGAGCCACCACGCCCGGCCTACTTTACTTTTTAAACTTTTGCCTCCAAAGTGCTGGGATTACAGGCATGAGCCACCATGCCTGGCCTACTTTTTAAACTTTTGCCTCCAAACCAAAAACATATGGACATAGTCACTCACGTACATGCTCTTTCTCACACACACCTTTCCAGTGGATGGAGTCTACTGAGAATTGTTTAGAGCAAAACAAAGATCTTTCAGCCAGCCAGCCATCCTCTTTATATAAAAATATCCCTTTCACAACTTCGGTAGACAAATAACTTCCTCCGCGCAGGGTAGAACTAAAGGCAGGTCATACAAGGGCAAGTGCCAGAAAAACTGCTTGAAATTGTGGCCAATGCCGTGGGAAAAATTCGACACCTAGAAAGTACGAGACTCCATTATTCTATCAAAGCACTTTGTTTGTTATATTACAGAGAGTATTCGTTTTACACAGTACATAGAGAAACTCAAGAGCAGACCATGTCTTACTCATTTCTTAAGACCCACTGGTAGAGTATCTGGCCCATGATGTGTTGTCACCTAAGTGTTTGTTGAATGAATGAAGGAAAAGAGTAGCACTGAATGAATGGAACGCAACCTTGGAGGTAGACCTCACAACAATTCTACTTTGCTTTTTTTTTTTTTTTTTTTTTTTGAGACGGAGTCTCGCTGTGTCACCCAGGCTGGAGTGCAGTGCTGGCAATCTTTGGTTCGACTGAAGCTCCGCCTCCTGGGTTCACCATTCTCTGCCTCAGCCTCCCGAGTATGACTGGGACTCATAGGCGCCCAGCACACCATGCCCGCGGCTAATTTTTTTGTATTTTTAGTAGAGATGGGGTTTCACCGTGTTAGCCAGGATGGTCTCGATCTCCTGACCTCGTGATCCGCCCGCCTCAGCCTCCCAAAGTGCTGGGATTACAGGAGTGAACCACCGTGCCCCGCCTACTTTGCCTTTTTTAAGGCACCTCACCTAGTCGCAGAGAGTAAAGATCCAATGCATCTGTCCTACTGCTTAAAAACAGGAAGTGCTTTGAATGGATTTAAAAATACCAGAGAGGGAGACAGCAAAGATGTTATTAGAAAAATGAGAATGCTTATTCTTCATACTTAGCAGGTGACCCTCTCCGGATTCTAGGTTGGAATTTTCCCACTGCATGCACAAATTTCAAGCAGTTTTTCTGGCACTTGGCCTTGTATGTGCCTTTATTCTACCCTGGCGGAGGAAGTTAAGGTATTGTCTACGAAGTTTGTGAAAGGGATATTTTATATAAAGAGGATTTCATTGTTGGTTGGTGATGACTGAGTCTGCAGGGACTGTGGCTAAGTGGGAGCTCCTGGTTTTGAAACATGTCGTTACATCCTAGGCCTCTGTTCTCTATCCTTTGTCTGCTTTTAAACCTCTGCCATTGCTCTGGGTTGCTGAGGTAGCTCTTTCTTCCACTAGAAAGAGACAGAATTCTCAGAACCAAGCCGGTGACCACAGTGAGCACTGCATGTGTCTTGCCTGGGTCAGTATCATCTTCCCTATTTCTTCCTTGTGGAATTCTCATCTTTCTTACCTCTCCCTTTTGGTCTTTTTCCTTACGGAATGGCCAGTCAGAAAGGTCCTGGATTCCCATCTCTGCTCTTCTTGAAGTTTACCTAGTTTCCTTCAAGACCCTTTTGTACTTTACGAAAAGGTATTTGTTTGTGCCGTGCCTGTCAATGTGAAAACAGGCACCAGACATGCATGTGTTTTGTTTTCCAGGGAGATGTGCATTGAGCAGGATGGGAGAGTCCATCTCACTGTTGTTTACTTTGGGAAAGAAGAAATAAATGAAGTCAAAGGAATACTTGAAAACACTTCCAAGTGAGTACAACACGGAGCCGTCATGAGGAGTCCTGGTAACTGAGCTCAGGAGCACACATCCAAGGCTGAAACTTCTACTTAGTTTTATTTTCCTTTACACTGTGGGTGACCTGGGATGGATGGATTGCTGGCTGTGTGCAGGGAAAAGTCTGCACTCCTCTTCCCCAGGAGACTACCCTGTCTGACACTGGTTTTCAGTGTGCATGGGTGATGACTTTGTCGTTGGAGATAAACTGCACACATCAAGGGTGAGGAGAGTGTGGGCTTCTTTGAGCTTCCACATAACTGGATGTTGTCACTTTTAGCACCATAGGTGCGGGGACTTCTTTATGTTGCAGAGTAGGAATTAGGGAGAGCACAGCTGTTCAGTGAACTCCATCTCAGCCATAGCTTCAGAGGCTAAGAGTGAAGTCTATGCTCAGATCTCATCCACTTAGCAAACAGTCTCACCCTTTGAGCTTTCATTCGTTAAGTATTTTGAGACATTCAGGGGAAACCAGAAATGGCGGCCAAGGCAGGATCCTTGATCAAACTTATTCAGTCGAATACAAATTATTTAACTGAAAGCTTGAGACCTTCAGTTGTACATTTATACCTAGTTGATCAGTTGCATGGGGAATAAATGTATTCAAAAGCAGCAGAGATGGATTTTTTCCCCCTATAAAAATAAATGAATAAGTAATCCCCATGGCATCTTCTGCCAGTAAGGAAGCCGGAATGGCACTGCACACTGGCCTGTAGTTTGCCCTGGAGGTTTGCAGGGGGGTGATTTGAGTAATCAGGGTGGGTGGTGTCTAAGCCAGTGAAGCTTTGAGTATGGCCAGTGGTACTCAGGGGCAGAAATAGTCTGAGTAGATCCATATAATGGAGATATAAACAGTACCCTCTGTTTTGAGTTTCTGGTAAATAGTAATAGGATGATAGTTGAAGGATAAGATTCTAAGACTGAGTGTACTTTTTATGCTTTGTTGCTAGTTTTGTATGAATGGGCCCAAGATCTGAATGCTAGTTATAATTGTTCAAGCATTCTTAAGCAGGAGATCAGCAAACTACAGCTCACTGGCCAAATTGCGTCTTGCACCCGTCTTTGTAAGTAAAGTTTTATTGGAATGCAGGCATGCCCATATGTTTACATATTATTTGTGTCTGCCTTTGTCTACAGCTGTGCAGCTAAGTAGTCACCACAAAGGCTGTGCGACTCGCAAAGCCTAAACTGTTCAGTGTCTGCCTCTTTACAGACAAATTGTGTCCATCTCTGCTCTAAAGCGATAGTGAGTTGAGAGTTTAAAACCAGCAACAACTTAAAGCTATGCCTGTGTCTAAGATCAAATAGAATAAAATAATTGAATATCCTAAATGCAAGTGAAATAGAAATTCCTTGACTCCAGTGCATTACAATGTTCTCACCTCTGCTTAGAAACGAAGAACGTGAATGATGTAAATTCATGTCCCTTGCCCTGTGGGTAGGTTTTAACATCTCTGTCAGTGTAAGTCCTAGACATAGGTTCTTTAAAGTTTCCCAGATGATTCTAATGTGAAGCCACAGTCGAGAACAATTGTACCAGAAGGTGATAGTCCGCCTGGGGGCTGCTCCCTCAACTGCAGCCAGCTGGCTGCCCCACCCCGAGAGATTTTAAGCAGCTCCCCAGGTGACTCTGAAGTGCAGCTAGGCTTGACAGCCTCCTTCCTCCTGGGTATAGCAGATTTCCAGCACGTCAAAGAGTGACCAGACGTTTGCTGAGGGTTACAGGTAACCAAATTTACATGAGTCCCATGGGTAAGTAGAAGGACAGTTTAGACCCCTCGTAGTGACTGGAATGCTTAAGGTCATACTTTCATCGATACTTTCTTCTCCATATCAAATTACCTGGCAAGCTGAATTCGCAACCAGAAGGTAGCTTGGCGAGCAAAGAATGCATAGAATATGAGTAAGAAAAGTACAATCATTCAAGTGGTAGAGATGGTTTGCCTCCAACTTTGGCGAACATCTAGTCATCAATCTATCCAGCTCGCTTCATGCTAGAGACCAGGTTGGTTGGTGTTTAAAGTAACGCTATGTAAACTTTGGCAAAATTAACCTAAACTTCTTGTGTATGTATATGCCTATACCTGGTATATGTATATAGTTGTATATGTATATACCTATATCTATACCTAGTTGACTAGTTGCATAGGGAATAAAATAAATAATTTTTAGGTGTTGGTATTCTCATTCTGTTAACCAGTGATATCTGTAGTGTTGATGTCACTGATGCTTTGGGCCATGTCTTGCCTTCTCTTAGGGTGTTGCTGGTCAGGCCACCTCTCCTAGGAATGCCCAGACCTCTGCAGCCAGCCTGAGTTGACTTCACTCTACCATACCACACTCCACCTTCCAGATCAATCTTCCTACCTCCCCCACTGCCTTAGCCTTGTCCCCAGACGGGCTGTTGCTTTTAATCCTGTCTTTACGACTTACTGCTCCCCAGCCAAACTGGGAGCAGAATTTGATGTTTGTCTTCACTCCCATTATTCTCCTCTTTTGGGGGTTCCTTCCACCCTCCTTTTTGATAACTCAAACCTCAACCCCCATCATTCCCCACCTAAGTTCCCACCTCTGGAGCTCTTTCTGACTCCCAGTCCTTTACGCTCTGAATTCCAACTGTACTCACTTTCTACACCTCTTATATCTGGCATTTGGTGCGTGATTTGATGGTTTACATTTCTTCCTGTTGTCCTAATTTTGCAACTAGATTATAAGCTGCTCAATAAGTAGTACTATGTGTTGTGACTCCTTAATTCCAGCACTTAGCATGACACCATGCAGAGAAAATGTTCAAGGTTTGTTCATCAAGAGAAAAATAATGCCAGGTATATAGTAAATTTGTGCACATAGTAATATATTTTGTTTCTTTTTGAGACAAGGTCTCGCTCTGTCACCCAGACTAGAGTGCAGTGGTGTGATCATACCTTATTGCAGCCTCCAACTCCTGAGCTCACGTGGTCTTCCCAACTTAGCCTCTTTAGTAACTGGGACCACAAGCATGTGCCACCATGCCTGGCTTATTTTTATATATATTTTTTGTAGAGACAGTGTCTCCCTATGTTGCCCAGGCTGGTCTCAAACCCCTGACCTTGAGCAATCAATCCTCTTGTCTCATCCTCCCAAAACTCTGGGATTACAGGTGTGATCCTCTACACCCAGCCTCCCACAGTAATCTATATATAAGCTTATACATGAAACTTTATTTAAACATTTTTAAATTATTTTTAAGGTAATAAAACTTTTGTTCAGAGGTGTCTTATTTCTGAATAATATAACTTGCATAAATTATAGTATTTAATATTCATTACCTGATGAGATAGACACTGTTGTGGGCCCTACTTCATAGATGAAGAAACTGAGGCTTAATGAGGATGTTACTCAGGCTGTGGTCTCTGCCATATGGGAGAGCCAGAATCAGAGCCTCGTGTTAAGTTCCACACTCATGGTGTTAGCATACCACCACATTTTCACTCTAATATGCTTGCTCCTAAAACCCATAGTTGTTAGTTGAAAGTAGTAAGATTTATAGTCACACTCAGTGAAATTTATGTTGTTTGGAAATCAGTATTGTGATTAAGCTGTTGTAAATCCAGTTAAATGCATGTACTTTAATATCTTTTTAAAAATCTTGTTTAGTGACCAGTATGCAATATTTTACACTCTCTCTCCCTAGGTTTATTCTTACTCAGTTGAGCTTTGCATTGCAGTTGATTGCTATAGATCAGTGTTCTGCAAACTCCAGTTTGTGATTTATTAGAGGGTTGTGAAATCGATTTTGTGGCTTATGTCCAGTTTTTTAAAAGTGAAGTAGAATAGGATAGAAAATATCAGAGTGAATCACAAGTAGTAAGGATAGATATTCTTTCATGAAAGTTTAATTTCAGTGTGTGTGTGTGCTGCATCAGGATGTGTAATATATTCCTTTGTAAGGATCGTGGTCAAAATGTTTAAAAGCTACTACCATAGACAGAAGTACAAATCGGTTCTCAATATCTGATTCTTATTCTATAGATTTTTCCAAGCTTCAGTTAATCTCAGATTAGCTCAGTGGTTCTTCAGTATAAACATACCTTGGAATAACCTGTGGTGCTTTTCAAAATGCAGATTCCTTTAACCCAGGCTCAGCAATCCTGAATCAATGGGCCTGAGATGAAGCCTGGGAACCATCACTGAACTAGTTCCACATATGAAGCTGATGTGGGTGGTTAATGGACCTTACTGTAAGAAATACTGCTTTAGGTGCTTGCTTGGAGCTATGTAATAGGAAATTTGTTGTTGTTGTTGTTTTGGTTTTTTGAGACGGAGTCTCACTCTTTTGCCAGGCTGGATTGCAGTGGGACAATCTCAGCTCACTGCAACCTCCGCCACTTGGGTTCAAGCGATTCTCCTACCTCAGCCTCCCAAGTAGCTGGGACTATAGGTGCCTGCAACCACACCCAGCTAGTTTTTGTACTTTTAATAGAGATGGGGTTTCACCTTGTTGGCCAGGATGGTCCCGATCTCTTGACCTCGTGATCCACCTGCCTTGGCCTCCCAAAGTCCTGGGATTACAGGTGTGAGCCACCGTGCCCGGCCGAAAAAAATTTTTTAATGTAACTGGTAGATGAATTGACATTTACTACGTTGTAAGTTGACATTTACTACATTGCAAGTTCATCTTTGCCTAGTCACAAGGACATGAAAGCATCCTTCAGAGGAATCATCTCTGAGATTGAGATGCTAGAAATGAGGCACCGCCCTGCCAAAGAGTGTATGTGATGCTATGAGAGGGTTGTTGTCATTATCAGGGACCTACCTTGCCAGTGGTTGTGTCAGCATTTCACACCTCTTTGAAATGATTTGACAGATACCTCCAGGAAGATTTTATCTGGGGGAAATGGTTTATTCCAGGATTTTTGTTTGTTCATTTTCAGAAATTTGAGAAGCATTGTTGATTTGCTTTTATTTTTTTTCTTAAACAAGGATTTTTAGATAA